GGTGGTGGGCATTTTGTCTCAGTGGTGGGAGGAATGCGATTGCGATGCAGCAGCGCAGGCTGCGGCCGATGAGACCGGGAGAAGTAGTTAATTAGATCGCCAGAGTGAGACCTCGAGAGAATGACTTTAAGTTGTTGTTGTTCTGGGAGCGACAGTGGTTGAAGCGTTTTACAGGGGCATGGTCAAGTTTTGAAGCAAGAAATAGGGAATAGATAGGTAACCTTGGACGATTGACGGCGAAAGAAGAAAAAGAAGAAACAAACATCCAAGGCCCGGGCTTCTTTTTCCCCTAGGAGGGCCAGCTGGGGCAGACCACGATGGCTTAATACCTCTCTTTACTCTGTAGCAGCTGCGCAATCGACTGACTCAAGGCTTGCTCGGTATGTAGACGGGTGGAGACACCGGGCGTCGACGCCATGGGCGACGCTACAACACAACCCAAGTGCTTGCGGGGGCGGGCCAGACAAGACTGTCACTGGAGGACTTTGCGGCCGTGTAAATCCATCCTCCACCGGGTCCATGGGACCTTGAACCCTTGCCATGCTCGGACGGGGATCCGGACAGGGCCCGGGTACAGGGGTCCGTGAGTGGTTGCAACAAGCGGGTAGTCAGTCTGTTCAAACTTGGCCTGGGCTAAAGGGGGACTCGGACCTTGTTCCTAATGCGAGACTATCGAGATGGCGTCGTGTTCGAAAGAAGAAGGAAAGAGACACCACCCCCTGATAAGTCTAGAGCTTGTTCGTGGCTGAAGGCGTCGATCCGGTGCGCGGGCTGAACCACCGCAGTAAGAAAATCTGCGATCCGGGAACATGGACAAGGTGCGTAAGTGTACATTCCTTCGAGTCAAGCCAACAGACGTTTTTTTTTTTTTTCTCTCTCTTCAAAGTTTTCAGCGTCTAACGGAGAAGCCGTGATGGAATGATTCTCTGGGTATGATTTTCCTTCGATCTGTAGAGTTATGTTCTTATTTCTCTCTGGTGCTGCTGAGCTGCCGTATTTTGACGCTTCCTGCAAACACTTTGACCCTTCTCTCTCAAGCGGACCAAGGAAACTAGTGCACAGGTCGACAAGGGTCTGGGTTTCGATGGGCTCACGGAGCTGAAGAAACCTCTCTCTCTCTCTCTCTCCTCTTTTTCCAAATCTTGTGGGGCTGAGAGTCATTCATCTGAAACATTTTACCCCGGCTGTTTAATTTTGTGCTGAAGAAAATGGAGAGACAGAGTCCGGGTCACCGGGTTTGATTGATCCCGAAGTGAGCCGGAAATTGCTAAGAGGACCAGTATCGTGATGGCGTCTTTTGGCCCCCCTCCCCTTTGCCCACAGACTTCTCGCCCACAGACTGGGCTTCTGCCCACAGACTCGCGCACTGCTTGCTGCTGCGGGTTTGCAGAGAGATCACTGGGTGGTCCATGCCTTGTCCGCGTAAACCCAGCCACAGACGATTGCTCTTTTATCCTTGCGGCAATCAAGAGATGCCTTGTTGGGCGGTGCACATGACGAAAGAAGCGTCACATCATCGTCGGCGAACATAGAGTGTACGTGCACTGTTTGTTTGTGTACGCCGCCGCATAAACAGCCCGGGACCGAAGCTCAAGATGAGACATGGTAGACATCCCATACGCGTCGGCCCGCGGCTTGTGCTTGTGCTTGTGCTTGTTGTTGTTGTGTTGGTCGGCACATGGTGTTTGGGTCTGTCGTGCATGGGGCCACGCCGTCATCCTTTTTTCTGTCTTGGGTCAATGGATGGGTGATTTGTCAAGCCGTCCCCTCTCCCCTCCCACCCAAGGATGAAACCCCCGTCAATGGCGGCCGTGAGACAAATTCCGGGAACCTGGCAAGCCCTGTCATGTTGGTTTCAGTTGGGGTTGATTGCAAAGTAGGATTGGGGATTTCGCAGTAAGAAAAAAAAAGAAAGTCCGTCTTTTTGACATCTGCAAGGCATTCTTTGACTTTGACAGGGCTTGACACTCTGTACTCTTGACCGCTGAGAGCTCTAATGTCGCTTCCGTCACGCCATGTCAGGAGAGCATCTCCTGCAAAGCGACACCCATCACGAACCTCTAGAGCCTTCTAGAGCGGCGGGAAGCACCCGACAAGAGTAAAAAAAAGACGAGTTTGCCGCCTTTGACGTTGACTGCATCTCGCGAATCGGAACTGGAACTCAAGCCCCCCTCCCGCGCACCTGGAATCCTTCCAAAAGCCCACTCCACCAACACACTGACAGCTCGGACATTTCAGTCTCCAGTTCATGCCGGGCGGGCGCTCCTCTCTTTGCTTTTTCTTGTCTCTGGCTCTTTTTGACGCACAGATTCGCATCATGGATGTGTGTGTGCGTGCGTATCGGGGCACGTGCGAAGGGAAAAAGCAACATGTAGAGCCTCACCGTCGGGATGTGGAAATAACGAGAAACATGGGTGATCCTTACCAATCCTTGGGGTTGATTGCCATACTACGCTGTTTTATTAGATGCGTCACGACCACTCTATTTAACTTTCTACAGCCTTGAAGAGGGAAAAGAGAGATCTGCAACGTAGAATGTCATGCTTTCAGGCTGACGCATTGACGACCCTGATGATCCAAAGCGCTGATCTTGCATCAAACTGAGGAAAATGCCCTGGCGAGCATCCCCCTCAAGGGATCCATTCACCTCGTGGCCTTTTTTCCAGGGCCCTTGTTTACTCTTCCCATGCAAGTTTCCCCCCAGCGATCAACAAAAAATGCACGACTCGCTCCCTCCGAGTCGGCCGTTGGACCCAACATGCATAGTGAGGCCAGCACGAGTCAATAAACACCCAACGCTGAAACGTTGGAAAGCTTCCTCAGCCGGGAGAAGATTCCGCTTGGCGGACCAACACGCTAGAACATGTCGTTTCTACTGCTAGAGAGTCTAGTTTGACTCGTAAAGTAGGGTTCGGGACTGGCCGTTTTTTCTGACACGTTGTTTCAGACGTTGGATGACATTCTCGCGCGAGTCTTGTTTTTTGGGTTCAGGTACTGGCATGATTTTTTTCTTTTCTTCCATGTGAATGTGCGTCTTTTGTTTTCATTGGTTTGTGATGATCGGCTATGTGACTGGGCTTGGTGATGATTTGCTGGGCTTGCCGGATGTTGCTCTGTAGCCATTGGGGAATGTGACTGGATGTGCATAACCGGGGATGTGAAGAAAGGTGCGGGATGGACGCGATAACTGCGGAAGTCTTAGTTTTAGCTGATTGGTCATTGGAGTGAGAGGTGAATTGATGGCAGATAGACAAGTAACTTGTGAAACAGTCTTGCTTCACGTCGGATACAGGATAGACGGGCCATGACAGCTTCGCAGTAGGTCGCCGATGGTTAACCCACCCTTCCATTGGATGATTGGAGTAGAAAAAAAAAAGATAGGCTCTGTGTCTATCTCACAAAAGTTTTATATCCATTTCCGTGTACCTCTCTCCCGTCTGGTTGTGTTCTCTTCAAGTGTCCGGGCCACTAGACTCGGCTCGTCGCTATACCTCACAACTTCAACTGAAAGATAGACATGGTCAACAAGTGCTCCAAATGATGTAGGATTATGAAAATGGTTGAATTAATCCTCAAGCGTTGGCGTGTGCGCGTTTGTCATTGCGTGTTCTGAGAGTTGACTCGTTTGGTCTGGATGAAGACGGCTGGATTGTAGACCAAGTAAAGAGAGGGCATTCCACCTCCATCTTTTCGCCTTGGGGCAGAGAACTCGGATGGTCTGCACGCTCCCGCCGCTTCACTCCCGAGGCTCTCTGTGTATCATTTCTAAGCTGCTGCAATGAATTCTTCACCTAGCCCTAAGGCTCTTCTCCTCCTTTTCTCTCTGCCTCCCCATCTCCTTCCACCAAGCCGCTCCACCTCCCTCTGCTTGACCACCTCTTCTGATCATCCGGCTTAACTTTTGACTACAGTGATTCACTTCAATCCGCCTCTTCCTCTTCACCTTCATCTATTTAACACCCCTCCTGCTCATCCTTCCACGCAACTTGAACTCATCCTTTTCATCCCTCCACCTTACAACCTTCCCTCCTTCCAGTCAACCTCTCTCTCAAGGGAGACTCTTTCTCTTCTCATCTTCATCTTTGTCCTGACTAAACTCTTCTTCTTCACCTCCCCTCAACTCGATCTTCATCGCTCTCCTTCGAGCATCGCGCATCACTCCGACCTCACTTCTCTTCAACTTACCCACTTCCCTCATTCGCAACTCCGACCTTGCTTCTTTCACCCGGCAGGAGCACGGCCAAGTATTTCATCTCAACTACTCAACATCGGACGAGGATCAAGTCTAGTTCATCTTGTCATCTCCTCCCATCCCATCTCTCTGTCACTCCCGTCGCCTACTTCCACAGTCTCTTACCACAGTTGAGACTCGCCAGTATCAGCAAACTTACGCCGCCTGTCCAATCACATTGAATCTCCTCCAAGACAACGCAACCAAACAACTCATCGCTTCACGCCTTCTACTTGAACCCCAACCACACCCCCATGCAACCTTCTCTTGGTTGAACAGGTAAGTGCTTCAACACATTTTCTCCCCTTTGACATCGCTATTGATCATTCGTATCAACATTAGACAAGTTGGTTACTGACAATTGGCTTCAGGTTCATTCATCCTCATGGAAATCAATCCCTCATCAGGGGATGGGTTTCCCATCCCAGGACTTGGCGCCGATGCCAGTGTCCCTCCGATTCCTCAACCTTTCGAGAAAGAGAAGTCTCCCATCGCTACGGCTGTGACCGAGCCTCGGGTTTCTCTGCACCAGGGGTCCTCTGAATCTGCTGAAGCCCAACCTGCCACTTGTGACCGCGACCTGTCTGGAACCCTCATCGACACTTCCGAAGAGCCCTTGCTCAAGCTTCGATACCACCTGAGACAAGAGAAGCCCGAGATGAGAAGCACTCTGACTTCTGTCAAGAACGAAGGCAGTGTCGACAAACACTTCTCAGACATGGGCGAAGGGAGTCACAGCACATCAGCGGATGAACTTGGCGATGTAGAGATGCTTGACTCTACAGCAAACGACGACGACGACCCCGAGGTCGAAGATGACAATGAAGATGACTCGGACTTTCACTCTCAAAGCGACTCCGACTCTGATGGCTCCGAAAAGGCTGGTAGACGTGGCAAGCACCGACGTGCCAAACCCAGTACCACTTCGCCACCTCAGGCCTCGACAAACTTCCAAGAACTCGAGAATCTGCGAAACAAGTTGTTTTTCAAGCAGAAGACAGAAGGATTGACAGGCAATGAGCCCCAGATGTTGGTACTGCTGGAGAAGCAGCTTCGGGAGGCTCAGAGTAAGCCCAGCCAAGGCTTGGCAGTCAAGAAGGAAGAGGCGACACAGAAGAAGCCGCGAAGAAGACCGGTGAAGACTGCACGAGAGTACTGGCAGAGAGAGCTCGAAGAAGAAGCCGAAAGAGAGGCCGAACAGGAAGAAAAGAAGCGAAAGTGTGAAGACGAGGCTGAGGGTTCGAACAAAGCCCAAAAGACAGCAGCTGGATCCCCTCAGAAACAGACCGCCAAACACTCAGCTGCCAGAGCGAGCATGTTGCACAGCCTTAGCAGTGTGGACAAAAGCATCAAGGATGGGGATGTGCCAACTATGGGTGCCATTCAGGCTCGCACCCACGCCGACCAGATGAAGCAAATCATGAAAGGCATCCCCGAAGGGTACGACACCAGACGCACCAGGTCACAGGCGAAAGACGTTGAACAAGCCAAATCCTCTTTCGGCTACAGAAAGGTCGAAGCTCTTGATGGGAGGTGGAAGCTTAAAGGCATGAACACTGGCCTCATGAACCAGCAGATTGTCGCCTCAGCTTGGATGGTCAAGAGAGAAGCTCAAGAGCTGCACCCCGCCGGGGGTTTGCTGGCTGATGACATGGGGTTGGGCAAGACAATCACAACTCTTGCTTGCATTGTTGGCCACCCCCCGGAGAAGGAGGATCGTGATGAGTTCAGCAGGGCGACGCTTGTCGTCGTGGGTGGCCCTCAAGATGCACAGCAGTGGGCTGACCAAACCGAGAGGCACTGCGACGAAAAGTTCTTTGCCAAGACAACAATCTACTCCAAGAAGATCCCCTGGAGAGCGGCACAATGGGGTCGACGCCACATAGTGCAAGTCCACAATGCCCCCAACCTGCCAAGAGAGCTAACATGATACAGGATCACCACCTACAAGGAGCTGGTAGCGCAGTTTCCCAACAAGAATGTCATTCAGGCACTGAGAGGACAGTGGGCCGGCGATCCGGTGGGCTTCGAGAGAGCTCTGCAAGAAAATCTTGGGCAGCTTTTCAAGATCAACTGGTATCGAGTCGTCCTGGATGAAGCCCATTCAATCAAGAATCGAACATCTAGCAGTGAGTGACTTGGACAGGTTCTGTTGCTTGAGCTGACATGGAATAGCCACTCTCGCTTGCTGGCAACTGAGTGCCAAGTTTCGATGGATAGTCAGCGGAACACCCATTTCAAACACGGTAGAAGGCAAGTTTTCTCGCGAGATCCATGGCTCATACTTACATGATCAGAGTTCTATCCCTACCTGAGATTCCTTGGGTGCAGTTTCGCTGTGAATCTGAAAAAGTTCAAGTCCGAGTACATGGACGGGGTAAGCTCAGCTCTGTGGAACAATGCAACAATTACTGAGTTAGTGGTCAGGGACATTCAAATGGGAACTTCGAAGCTCTTGTTAGCTTGGTCATGTACAGACGGTAAGTCTCGGGGTTAGAGTGAGGAAACGTCCGCTGATTCTCTCTAGCAAGCAGGATGAAACTTTCCTGGGACGTAGGATCGTTAGTCTTCCGGAGAGCCACAGCCACGATCTCTGGGTCCCCCTTGAGGATTGGGAAATGGCCATGATGCGGTTGGTTTCTTCATATTGAGCCAAAGGTGCAACACTGACAAATCCAAAGGGCACTGGACAATCAGTACGAAAAGGACGAAAAGAAAGAAAAGAAGAACAAGGAACAACCTGCCGCGGAGAACAATGACGAGGAACAAGAAGATGAAGACGAACCCGAGAATACCGACCAAGCACATGGAACTGCTGACGAGGATGAAGATGATGAGGCTGATGCACAGAACGATACTCGCAAGCCCCAGTCTGCCACCGCGATCCGATGGAAACGATTCGTGAGACTTCGTCAAGCGGTGTCCCACCCCCTCAACCTCGAGAAGTTTCTTCGAGAGTTAGACCGCGAAGAGATCATCCAGATGGCCATGGAGCGACTCAAAGAAGAGGCTGAAGCGATTCAGAATGATGCTGACAAGGCGGAGGCCCACGCTGAACAACTAGCACAGGACAAAGCCGGCCGAGAGATGTTTTCCGCAGGAGCCCACCAGATCAAAACTCTGTACAAGGACTGGTTCGGTGGTGCTGAAGAGATGGCTCAGCTACGCGCCCTTGCTGCCAATGAGCAGGAAGTCAAAGAGGTGACTTGTGGCCTTTGCAAGAAGGCAACGCCCCCTGTGGAACCAACCCGAGGAGCATATGTGCGTGTCAACCCCATTCTCGTGGCTTCGTGTGCTAACAAACGAAAGTGTGAGCATATCTTTTGCGAAAAGTGCATCACTGTTGGCGTTTCCAAGGCGAGAGGGTCAGTGAAGTTCGGATTCAAATGCCCTATTCCCGACTGCTCCGCCAGCCTGGCTGTTGGAGAGACCTTGAAGACACCTGCGTGTATCCAGGCAGACGTGGACAGAGCCAAGGCACTCAAGGTCTGGCAAGAGCCTGGGAAGGACAGCATTGGAACCAAATGGGGCGGCGATCGCGACGGACGCGCCTCCTTCTTCCTCGCCACTTCTGAGCGCGATGACATCGACTATGGCCCCGTCAACCTGCCTTTGGGCTCCAAGGTCAAGGCTACGATGGAGGTGATTCTGACATGGGTGAAGGAAGCGCCCAAGGACAAGATAATTGGCAAGTCATTCGGCTGGACACTCTACCATTGGTCTCTAACTATCTGTCTAGTCTTTGTCGAGTTCACCAGAACTGCGAAAGCACTGGGGTGCATCCTTGAGAAGATGGGGCTCAACTTTCTGTACTACAACAGAACGGCCAATGCTAAGCAGAAAGACAAGGCACTGCGCGAGTTCCGCAACAACCCTGAACAAACGATCTTTGTAGGTTCTTTTCCTTCTACACCTCCCAAACTCTTCCATTATCTGACCAGGTAATAGCTTGCATCAATGAAATGCGGTGGGCAGGCCCTCGACTTGCCTGTGGCCAACCGTGTCATCATTGTCGACCTTTGGTACAACAAGACGGTCGAGCAGCAAGCCTTCAAGCGAGTTCACCGAATCGGACAGAAGAAGGAGACGCATCTTGTGCGAATCCTGGCCAGAGGTAGCATCGACGAGCGCCTCTACAAGCTGCAGAACGCCAAGGAAACCATCATCAACCGCGCACTCCAGGATGATGGCCACTTCATCGACTTCTCGGAAGGCCAGTCCCTCCGCTGGCTCTTCTCGGACGAGACTGAAGAGGATTTGATCCAAGAAATGGATGCAATGGCACAGGGATTGAAAGACAAGGCGGAGGAGGAGAAGAAGGCCTGAGCTGTTTCTTCTCGAAGCGACGCCGTGATGGGGCGTAAAACGGGGTAAAAGTTGATTGCTATTTTCTCTCTTTGGTTTCATTCAGCCGGTGAAGGTTACATGAGCGAGGGATGCTCTGGTCTCAGATACACCGTGATCTACGGAAAGGGGGATCTTTCCATGGCTGGGATACTACAGATACTACGGTGACAATCAAATTCTTTTGCGTTATTTTGACGAAATTTGAGTGAAACAAGTCTTCAGTGATAAGAAATTCTAGCAAGGTGAGACCATATTCTGGAAATTTTGGCCATGTTCTTTTCTACTTCTTCCAACATCTTCGTAGGCATCTTTAGTGAAACGCGAGCCACAACCACCAGTGAATACTCCCATGGGCATCGTAACTGTACCAACCAAGCCAGCTGACCAGCTCGACATCCCTTGAGACAGGGGAAATACGAGCACAGGCTCTTTGAGTAACTTGAGGAGTTTGCTGCGACAGCTGGCGCCCTTGCCTCCGTAGCATGAGCTTGGGGTTTCTCCTGTGGGTTCGGCAAGTTAGTCAGGGATAGATTCATGGGAGTTAAGGTTCATATTTCATTTCGTCTGAGCTTGGCAGGGCTCAGAGACTAGTTTTTACGATGTAGCCAGGCCCTGAGTCAAGCCGTCCTGGTTGATCGATGTCCCCGACCTTGCTGTATCTTGGTTAATGGTTGCCCTATTGATCAGTGTCAGTATGACAGTAGTGGCTCCTCCCAGGGGTCTTTTGTCGACACTCAGATACTTTGGTACTCTCGACAAGTTCTCTAGCTTTTGGCCAATGTGGATATTAATATAGGAGATGTCCGCTATCCCCTTTAGCTCGGCCACTCGCCTTGACGGAACGGTGGGGGGTTGACATTGCAGATGTTGTCGGCGTTGTTTTGGCTGCCAATAACCTGAGAGTTGTTGCTCAAGTCTTTTTTGGAGTGTTTTGTGTCTCTTTTCCACCATATACAAAGAGACAATCGACTACCTCACCACGACGAGTGTTTTCACTGCGAATGGTTGGTCCAACTGGAGCGGACTAGGCTGCCTAAGCAACCTCCCACAATCACTACTGCTTTTGTGAAGAAAAAGGGAATAGTTGGTGGTCCATTGACACTGAGAATAATGTCTAAGAGGTGGCTCAAGGATGACAAGTGTAGGTAGGGCTTAATGAGGGTCTATCAATGGCTGTGAATGGCCCTGCCTCACATATAGACGGACGCTGTGTAAAAGCCATTCATGCTAAGATCCATCTCTTCGTTGCCTAGGTACCGGAAGGGATTATAAGAAGTGTCAAGTGACTCAGAGCAGAACTTGAGATGAGGCTGGTCCCTGAGTCATGTAATGATGGGAGAGTGTCGACTAACATTATGGCATCTGCCCAGTTGAGTCACTGAAGATCGAGGCAGTCGATATTATAGCTTAGAATTTCTAACAAATTGGTTCTGGTGTGTATGTTGGACGTGGGGTATCCTGTGAATAGCTGGCCCTGAGTCTGTGAGAGGTTGACACCTCTACCTGGCGAGTATAAATACGTACATAGAGCACCTGCTCAAGCCGACGTCGACGCCATACTCTTTACTAACATACACCCAAGTAACCTACAACACAAACTTCAACACGTATTGATCTTCTAACCCCTTCTCATCAGTCCTCTCTGCAAAGAACGGCACCATGTGCACGTTCTACAGCATTGGCTACATGTGCCGGGCTTGCGGCTCGTGCGTCCGGCTCGAAACCGATGAGAAATACTGCGCGTACAGCAAGAGCAAGAATGAGAGCCTGCGTGAAAAGTGCGTGCCAAGAACGGATCACAAACGAGTGGCTGTGTCTAAGGACCAGTGCCACAAGTGCCAGGGCAAGAAGAAGCCGCCAAAATGTGAGCTGACAGACCATGGACATTGGACTTAAAGTTGACAAAGGAAATTATAGTGTAGGGTTTTTATGCAAAGCTAATCTAGATTGAAACATTTCGCGACTTGAGGTATTGTTACTGTCTCGGCGTTGGGGAGGAAGGGAGAGTCTTTGTTCAAGAGCGTCGTAACAAAGGATCCACGAAGCGACGCGCATCAAGATGTCGTGGCTAGAGTCGTGACGTCCAACGCAGTTGAATTTACTCCAATGGAAGTTTCTGACACGAGAAAAGCGCGGCAGCCGTAAAAAGACCCGGTTGTATCACGCAGCAAAGAGACACATGAATGGCTGCAAGTTGAGACGGTTGGTGATGGACATGCAGCAAAGTTCCAGGGATGTTCTTTGATCTCTAGCATTCGCACAATGCAAGGTCAGGGGTTGACAATTGATCTCAAAGACGACAATAGTTGTTGACATGAGCCAACAGACGCTACAATAGGCTTTTTTAAAACTTGAGAGGCGTTGCATTGACTCGATGGTGGCTTATTGTAGTCGTGACGTGCTGACGCGCCTTGATCATTATTCCTTGGCTGTCATGTATCGGCGATGAGACTCTTGCCAAGTGGCCTGCATAGAAACTAGGCAGCTCTGCAACAGGAAAGAAAACCCACTCTTTGTCCGTCTTCCGAAGAGAGCAATGAACAAATCGGGAATGCCCAGCCAGACATAATTTTTGGACAAGGGATTGGGCCTGCAAAACGCGAATGTTGGGAATTTCGGTTGCGGTGGAGACATCACATCGGCGGGGGAACGTGTAGAGGAGGCTGGCTTTGAAGGGGTTTGCTTTCAGGCTAAGAAGACGAGGGATTTCTATGGAATTCTGCAGAGTTTTTTTTGGGTTTTGAGATTCAAAGAAGAAGCAAAGTATTTTGAGGATATCATACTTGTAAAAAAGAATTAATATGTCAATCAATGCTGCTCATCAATGTCACCAAACTGTCAAGCAAGGGATCCTAGACATCGGATCGTGGCTGCTCGCTAAAGTGGACCACGCTACAGCGCGTTCCAGCGGACGTCATCCCTTATCGATAGCGGGGACCACTTAACGCGGGCGCGTAAAGCACCAGCTGCAACCCCTTTGCCCGCATTTGCACATCTCCCGCCGCTATAATTATCCCCTTCAGCGGTCCCAGTCCACTAAGCTACAGGGCATCATCCACTACAACTCGACACCGCGACCGCTGCACAACGGGGCTTGCACAAAAAAAACGCCAACACGACCTCTCAACGCGGCCACGCTACGCCCGCGTTCTCGGCCGCGTCCCTCGTGGGTTAAAGAGCCAAAGTGGGCAGCCTCTTTAAATACCTCCACCACCACCAAAAAACGCCCTCTCCCTCACACAAAAAGGTCATTCACTCTTCCACCCGACCACACGACCACCACCAACCTTCTCTCACTTCTTTTAGACTTGGCCTCTATTTCTGGCCTCTACATCCTCCTTCTTTTAACAACCCGACCGTGTACGAGACCACCTTTTTTGTTCGTCATCGTCGTCTGTTCCTCAAGAACCACCCTTACCGCTACTACCACTCCGTCTTCGCGTGTTGGCTGGGAAGAAGAAGAACAAGGACGACAAAGAAACTCAAACAAGGAAAAGAAAAGGAAGAAGCGTTTCTTGGGTGCAGAAAAGGATCTAGGTTGAGTCTCGACTCTCAACGCGTGTTTCTGGTCCTCCCCCATTCGCGCATCTGGACGCGATCCAGTCCTCGACCCTCGACTCTTGTCGATACTCTCTTACAACAACGAATAAACCGATACAAAAGTCGGTTACAACTCTACAAATGGATTCTCTCGCTTCTTCACCGCGAAAGGGTTCCTCGGCTGAGCCTACGCTTCCCGTCATGAAGCCCATCACCCTCGCCGGCTCCAAGCGTCCGGCCCCGACTCTTCTTCCGCCCTTCGAGCCGCTCTCTTCGTCTCCCAACCTTCCTCGACCCGTCAAGAGACAAAACCTCGGACCCGTGTCCGGTCGTCCTTCTTCTCGCGCTCACCTCAAGTACCCGACCCCCGTGCCGACGTCGAGCACCGGTATCCTCTCGAGTTCCCCGCCCCAGCGTTCCTCGGCTGCTACCGAGCGGGCCCCGCTCTCTGCCGTCCCCGCCGTCGAACTGTCCGAGAATGGCGAGACGCTCATCATGGGCCGATCCTCCAACTCGTCGCATTTCCAGCTCTCGGCCAACCGCCTCGTGTCCCGAGTCCACGTCAAGGCCCGCTTCATCGCTGCCCCGAGCCCCCTCGAGCCCAGCAAGATTGAGATCATTTGCAATGGCTGGAACGGCCTCAAGCTCCACTGCCAGAGTCGTACCTGGGAGCTGTTCAAGGGCGATAGCTTCACAAGCGAGACTGAGGGCTCCGAGATCATGGTTGATGTTCAAGATGCTCGTGTTCTTATCCAATGGCCCAAACGTGCTGTTGACAACCTCTCCGACACCACCTGGGACGATTCTCCTCCCCAGATCCGCCCCAATGCCATTCTTCAGTCTTCGCCTCCTCGACGTACCGGCCGTATCGCTTCTCCTGAGAGCCCTACTCCCGTGACCCTGTCTAGCTCTCGCCGTCTCCAAGCTCTGCTCCCCGGACACCGAGACCACGGCATTGACATTTATGAAGACGATGAGCCTGAGCTGCCTAAACCCAAGCGAGAGCATGAGCCTGAAGTTGAGCACATGGATGTTAATGTCAGCATGAACACCGAGGTGACTGCCAGCTTCAGCAGCGTGCAAAGTGTCGAGCAGCACAGCGATGCTGAAGACCAGGACCCAGATGAGGAGAACGACCCTATCGTGCACTCCTTCGGACCCTTTGGCGCCGACATTTCTTGCCGGTTGGCTTCGATAAGTACAAAGTCTCCCAAGATCTTCAAGGGTGCCAAGCGAGCGTCCAACCCCCTCCACAGCGCCATTGCCGCCGACCTCTTTGCTCCTCGCCAGATCCCCGCGCCTCCTCGATCTCCCCGAAAGCAGCCTCAGCCTCAGCCCGAGTCTCCTCTTTCTTCGCCTCCTCGCGTGTCTACGCCTACTCCTGAGCCCACCAAGATGTCGTATGAGTCCAACCCCATTGTGGCCAACCATGTCATCAACCAGCTCGCCTACTCGCGTCTGTCTTCGACTCCTCTGTCGACCATCATGCAGCACCTCCCCACCGAGGAGAAGAAGGGTCTGGACAAGGCTGATCTTCGAGATGTGATCGAGAGCACTCCCTGCATCGGTATCATCAAGCGACAGGGCAAGGACGCCGCCGGAAAGCAACTCGAGAGCGAGTACTACTACGTCCCCGAGCAGGACGACGATGAGCAGCGCCGAGCGGCTGTTGTCGATGGCCTCCGAAAGCCCAGTCTCCGCGCTTGTCGCAAGCAGCATAAGGTTTGTTTTCCCCTACATAATCTTCCAATATGGCTTGGAAGCTTACACTATATCACAGCAATACTACTGGAAGCGTCCCAAGACTCCCTAAACAATTTCCTATTCCACGTACATACTCGTTTCCAATTTGGGAGATGAGAAGCATCACACAACAATATCACAACGAATCAAGGCGGCAGATGTGTCTTTTTGCTTTATACCCCCTCTTCAGCAGAGTTTCTTTTTTTTTTCTTTTCTTCATTGTTCATATTCTAGATTCACGACCTCTCCCGATATTGAACCCCCTTCTCTCGACATGTGCATAGCCAAGGCGTCTTGTTTTTTCTTTTTCTTTTCTTGTTTGAGTTGTTACTCTTTGCAAGCCTTGCTGCATTAGGGATGGGGAGTTGAAAGGGGTGAAAAAAAGGGTCAAGCTGTTGTGTTTTTTATAACGAAAGGGGGGCACTTGAGAAACAATGAGGTCCCATGGATATAGAGGATTCGGGAGGTGCCTTATAAAAAGGCATATGGTAACGACTGGGACAGAGGAGAGGAAAGGAAAGGAAATGGTTGGCGTGGAAGGGTTGATATCCATGTCTGGTAGGGAGGGCATACTTGTATGAGTTGAAGCAACACAATGGAATTCTGTGATGATGAATATTTGTGCCATATGTGATGTAGTCTAATTGCTTACAATATATCGTGGTAGATACTGGAACTGTGTAGGTTCACGAGACGCGTCCAGTCCGCGCTTCGTGATGCATGGTGCGAGGAATGACACGGCGCGTCGGGACGAGGCCAGCCAATTGATGCTTCAACCAGTCACGGTCGAGAACACCACTTGGACTCATGATTTGACAAGCGGAAATGTGCTATACAGCAATTCCATTGGTCTGATCGACTGCAGGACACATGATTACCAGAAACATTGCACATCTCGAGATGCAATTGTCCGGTTTCGTCGGTAGATGACGGCAAGTTTGTAAATCCGTAGATCCCCCCTTCATAGACCGAGGCAAGCCATTCGGAACAAGATCCGATTATCGGAGCACACGATGCTCACGCAATGGAGGCTCAATAACAACTTGGTCATTGCAAACTCTCTTTTTCCCCCCCCCCCAGGATCATCAGAGCATGCACTTCATGCATCACGCAACGGGGGCAGACGCCTCGTGCATCACCGGAACAGCTGGAAGCGGGAACTGGAGAGGTACTCGGCTGGGTGGAGGAAAATACGAGACACTGGCGGACACCTGCTAGCTGGTTCTCCCCTAAAGATGGGGATAGGAATTAAGAAGAAGGGTTTAAGTATTGCCTTTATTACGATGTAGCTATTACTTCCTTTATTACATTTAATATAAACTTATTCGCGATAATTATAAAGAGTTAAATAACACTCTCTGTATTCTGGTGTGCCGTTTATTTCTCGACCCCCTCGGCACAGTACACCAAAAGCCTCGAACCCGTCGCATCAGACCACCATCATGCTCCCGGACTTGCCACCACCGCCAATCATTGAGCACGCGGGGTTGGGTGAGCTGAATGAACTAGCCTGTTCTCGGCTCATGGATGCGTGACGGATTCCCGAGGCATTGGGGGGATATAATAAGAGGAAGGGAAGGACCCTTGATTTGGAGAATGCAAGTCATACACACACACACACACAAACAATCTACTCTTGCCTTTGAGTAAAGAAAGGTAAGTACGAGAGTGAAATATTGTTGGGCAAGACATTGACGTCGATGACTTAGACATCATCATATCATATCTACCTACTTATACAAACCATCCCTCTACAACAACAAACCTACAAACAAACCGCATTCAACATGTCTCGACAACCAACAGCGCTCGACACATCAACCGAATCCCCAACATGTCCAACCCAGAGTGAGACGAACCACCATCTCCACTCGTCAATAATCATGGCTAACCTATCCCTCCTCATCGAAGCCCCCGTGTCTCCATCCGCCCAAGCCGGCGCCGACCGCTGCATGCGCCACACCCAGAGTTGGACTCCCGACTTTGGTCCCCTCCAGCGTCGTCAGAGCTGGAGTGCAGAGGACAAGAAGCATCAGATGCACATGGCAAAGATTGATCATGTAGCTACTGGTCCTGGCTTCTCCGAGGGACAGGGCGCATGATTTATACGAGGGTAATAAGGTTGAACGCATCGGAATGAACAAAAAAAAGACTGTACAACAATGGGTCAATAATGGATCATTAATGTCAGGATTGGGAAAACGGCTGGGTTTATGTCAACGCCTGGCAAGGCGACAGACACTTGTACACTACATCGCAAAGCATACTCAGAATGAAACAAGAGTATTCAGTTTGATTTAAGCGAATGATTTCCTATTCATGGCTTCCTAGTGCAATAAAAACAATGTGCCGAGGTATCTTGACTCCCGAGCTCCATGTCATCGTCAATGATGTGTCCTAACGCGATACTCCCATATGCTCGTTGACAAACCGACAAAAGAAAGAACAGTCGTTAACTTGATCCAATCTGTCCTTCGCTGTCCAGCCAAAACTCCAAACCATAATCAATGCTTCCCGCGTAGCTCATAAGTGTGTGCTAATACCAAAACGCCTCAAAACAATAACCATCAATCATGCTCTCCAATGCCACCTACTGGCGTCGTGTTCTCGACTTCTCGGGGTCCAGCCCTTTGGTACTCATGTACTCGGCCGATACTGCCAGAGCATATGCCGTTCCTGCAAGTCCTGCCGTTCCCAGAACGAGCTTGCGGCCAAGTCTTCTCTTCTTACGTTGCTTCGTCGGCATCTCCTTTCGTTGTTTAGTCGCCAAAAATTCCTCCCAGGCCAGTTCATCCTCGGGGTCTGCCCTCCACCCATATGGCGGAGCCGGCTTATCCATGTGTTCAAAGGGAGTATCGTAGTTGACAAACCCGGTAGGGCTTGCAAAGTTTCCAGTCGCAGGCTTGCCCATCATGTCGATCGGGTTCACTCGTGCGGTATTGATGCGTTCCGTCACCTCTACTCCGTTCTGTCCAGTGGCTGGTCCCATTTTGCGAAATATCAGCACGTCGCCACTGCCGGAGACCACCTCGTATCCTTGACTTTGGAGAGGTTTGAAGTGAGGGAGAAACTTGGCGGGATTCGACAGCTGGAGAAGCACTTCCGATAGAGCCATTGGCGAGTCCTCGTCGCGTGGTGCCGAGGTAGCTTCTGCTACGTTCATTGTCTGCGACGTTGGGTCGTAGGCGAGGATCTTGTATGAGGCAGTCTCGGGCTTTTTCGATGTGTAATGCTTCTCTGTGATGGGCATTGTCGATTTCCCGCACTCTTCTGAAAAGCTTGTCTGTAGACCCTGGGGTTCATGTGAATAGGCATCCTTCATAATCTTGTCTCCATACCGGTCCAGAGCAGGCTGTAGTCTCGTAAATTCGACCGGAGAGGTTTCGTCCATAGATTGAGCCTCTGCGCTGTCAATGTCAACACTCAATGTTACTCCTTCAACATCCGTCACCCCAGCTGTGCTCTTGGGGAGGAGTGTCGACTTAGACGCCGAATTCTCGGTTCCCCATGATGCTGCAAACTCCTCTGGAAAGTCCCGAGTGTAGTTTCCCGTGAGATTCTGACTTTTTGGCGTGCCAGCAGATTTCCCATCTGCTGCAGTTTCCACAAGGATCGGTTGATCTTTGGTCTCGGCCGATTTCTGCTCTTGGCTGCTCTCATGGGCTCTACGCAAGGTTGCAGCTCGGATCTGCTCAGCATTCCGAGAGTCGACAATATCGATACTAGTTTCCGTAAAGTCGGGAAAAAACCTGTTCCTCTCGCGCTGATAAGTAACTGGTGGTCCATCCGTGACATCTTGAGAACCTGCCTTGGAATCGAACTCTCGGAGGCCGCGGGCGACTTCATCCAGAGGAATAGAGATCTTGCCATTGGGCTCATTGTGGCCAAACGCCTTGTATCTGTGAAGGTCCTGATAGACCTTGGAGGCTTCCTCAGGGTGGGCGGGGTAAGCCTGGGCCTGGGAGACAAAGCCAGCAGGCTTGTAGCCGCCAAGATCCGTGTAGTTCTTGGTAAGTTGCTCAGGGTGGACATGTTCAAAATTGGCGGGCTCCTCATAGCCAGCAGAGGGATACTCGGACACATCTTCGTACTGCTTGGACGCTTGTTCGGGATGCATGCGCTCCGTTTCAGGTCCATCGTTGTCATAGACCGAGTACTTGTGTAGGTCGGCGTACTGCTTTGATGCTTCCTCAGGGTGCACTCGTGGGGTAGTCGCGTCGCCGTTCTCGAAGTGACGGTAGCCAGTCAAGTCCTTGTATGCCTTTGAGGCCTCTTCGGGGTGGACACGCGACATGCGAGGGGACAAATCGCGAGCAGCGTATTGACGAGTGTCTTTGTACTGCTTCGACTTCTCCTCTGGAGTCAATTGCCGGAGGCCGTTAGGCTCGTTCCATTGGACAGCGCCATACAGGTGTAGATCATCGTAGTTCTTGGATTGCTCCTCTGGCGTGAGCTTCCGGAGGCCGTCTGGCTCATTCCAGCGGACGGGCCCGTACTGACCGAGATCTTTGTACTTGCGGGCAAAGTTCTCAACCGGAGCATCCACTTTGGGGGCGAGGGGCTTGCCACGTGGGGTGGCATCCATCTGAGATTCCTCGTAGGCCTTGAGGGTAGCCTCGCTAACTTCGAAGGGAGCGGCGTAAGCGTCAAGGTCTTTGTACTGCTTGGACTTCTCCTCGGGCGTCAATTGTCGGAGACCGTCAGGCTCGTTCCAAGTGACAGCCTCGTACGAACCCAGGTCTCCGTAGTTCTTGGAAGCTTCCTCAGGAGTGGGCTCCCGCAGGCCATCAGGCTCATTCCAGTAAACGGCGCCATACATGTGAAGATCGTCATAGTTCTTAGACAGTTCCTCATCAGTGTGTTTGCGCAATCCGTCTGGCTCGTTCCAGTGAACCGGCTTGTACTTGTCCAGGTCATCGTAATTCTTGGATTGCTCTTCTGGGGTTAATTGCCGTTGGGTGAAGGGATCATCAAGCTTGGCCGAAGAATATTTGTCGAGGTCGTTGTACTCCTTGGAATCTTCCTCGGGGGTCAACTTTCGGAGACCATCGGGCTCGTTCCAGCGAACAGGGCCATAGTTATCAAGATCCTCGTATGCAGACGACTCATCCTTGATGGGTGTCTCGTCAATCACAGGCTCATACTTGTCCAAGTCGTTGTACTTTGGCTCTTGAGCAGGCTTGCCGGTGTCTTTGCCATCCTTGATCGGACCATACTTGTCCAAATCCTCATACTTGGGAGTAGAGTCCGCCTCTGCCGTGATGTCAACAAAGTCGGTAGGCTTGTAGCCCTCTAAGTCTTCATATCGAGCAGCAGGTCTAGTCATGGATGACTTGGACTTTCGGCGGTTGGTGATGGGATCAATGAAGGTGGCGTCTTCATTTTCGGTGGTGGCTTTCAAAACGTCGGCTGGTGTCGTCTTTGTGCCTTGTGGGCGACTGAAGTGATGTGTACCAGTAAGAGTGGTCTTGCGGATGTTGGCCTTGTTATCGCCTCGGATCAAGTGATCAATTGCACTTCGTTCCACATCCTCGATGTTCATGCCAGGTCGAATACCCGAAAGATCATCTGACCAGGACTTGACCTGATCCATGTTGGCGTACTTGCTCGAGTCAGCGTGGCGGCCAAAGCTAGCCATTGCCTTCTTGATGGCATCCTTGGCATTGTTCTCCCAGGAGAGATTGCGGTTCAAGGATTCCATGTACCGATAACGGAATTTGCCATGATGCCGACGAATTTGTTGAGTTTGAGGTGCTGATGACCAGGAGCCAAAGCAAAACTCGCGAGTTTGACAGGCACACCTTGACTGTAGCGAAGCGGTAGATGTGAGGACGTTGGAACCGACAGCGCGGGTCTGGAGTAGTCTCGCGCTAGGCGAAGTGCGTGAAGCCGTCAACAACATTGTGTGGGGAGAGGGGAGTCTAAGAGGTGGGGAGTCTAATTCCTGGGGTCAGCACTGAAAGCAACAAGCGGACTCGAGTCTAATCAAAGCTCCAGGCGTCGCAGAGGAGCGAAGCATCAAGAAATGAAAAGACTGAGTATCAAACGTACCACGGAAACAAGGAACTGATCAGCGATCAACCAAGCAAGCACCCGAGCCAGAACCCGGAGCTGCCACTAAGAAGACGAGCTGACGGCGCACAGGACACACAGCGGCTGAATCAACCGGCCTTTGGCAGCTGAGAGTGAAGCACGGCAGGGCCTCACAAATTGAGTTGTTTGCGGATATAAGTGGTGGTGAAGGTCGATAGAGTGAGACAGAGAATAATGAGAGCGGGATGAGGAGAGAAGAAAGACGCGACCAAGGATGAGGGGAAACCCAGGGACCTTAAAAGATAACGAAGACGGGACATGGAAGCAAGAGTGACGACTTGCGACGGGGCCTGGGGCTGTTTGGTCCTGAGGTTCAACAAGAGACCGGGGCAAGTGAGGGACCAAGTGGGGACCCTGGGGAGTTGGGGGGAAGGAGCCACTCGGGCACATGGGTGAAGGAAACGCCGGAACAGCAGAGGGTATTCGTGAGGCTATTGTGCAGTAAAATCGGGCGTTTACATGTGAAGAATAGGAATAGATAACAAACAAGACTTGTACTTTATTTTGATCAAGTGTTTACTCTTATCGGCCTTCATTTGGTCTTGTAAATGCCCTGTCTCACTCCTCTATCTGCTTAAGTTGCTCCGCGTTTTTCTTCCCACCTGCGGAGATGGGGAGGAGCTGGAGGGGCGGCTTTGGCTGTTGGTGACGCTGTGACACAGTGACACAGTGACACAGCGGAGGCCCATGATACTTTTCCGGGGACCAGTCTCTCGCTTACGCCGCATTGAGACGCCAAACCAAAGCAAGGAATACCCTTCAAGAAGCCAGCGACTCCCTGACGAAGAGGCGTGGCGGAAGGGACGGGACTCTGACCAAGCGACAAGACTCCCAAAACAGCCTGCGAGCAGAGGTTCAGTGGTTACAGCCAATGCTGCAACCAGCTGCAACTCGCTGCAAAGGCTCCAAAGGCGTCTCCAGCTGCATGAGCCCACATCCGACCCCCTGGCAATCCAAGCCCCCCGGGGCGACTCTCTTTGCGGGGAAGACGGCATCGCCTAATGGGGCAAGTTGATACTGTCTCGCCCCGCCGACTTCACAAGCTGAACCTGGGACTTGCCAGCCGCTGACGTCTACCTCACGAGCCAAAACCCCTGTGAAGCGGCAATCCGCTGCGAGGGTGATGATGAGGATATCCGCACACGCACTCGCTGCATGCTGCGACGCCTTCGGTGGGATCTCATGGCATGCCTCGGCATAGCTCCCCG